GAGGTCTTCTAAGTTCAAGCCATGCCCAGTGTCTCAGTTCACTTCCTGTTGCCTGCAGGTCAAGATGTGGAACTCTCAGCTCCTTCTCCAGCACCCTGTCTGCCTGCATGCCACCATGTCACACCATGATGATAAGGGACTAAACCTATGAAAATGCCACCCCAGTTAAATGTTTTCCTTTATAAGAGTTGCTGGGGTTGTGGTGTCTCTTCGCAGCTGTAGAAACCCTAACTAAGACACCCGCAGAACCCTTCTTCAAAGTTTTCAAGTTAAAACAAGATATCCTGGACCAAAAGAAAACTTTTGTTTTGAAATACATTTAGCACAACATTTTAAGAAATAGAGACTCCATGGTTCTAGGAATCCTTGTTTATTAACATACTAAATAACAAGGTCTAGGAGCGGGTTTCAATAATGACTGTAATTTTGGAGCAGTAATGGGTTTAATGACATTTTCAACCACCTGACACAACTTGAACAGGTCTGGAAATAGCTATGTTGCTTCCAGAGACTACCGCCGATGCGGCCGTTGTGGTGTGTGCCACTGAAGGAGACACTGGCAACCATTAGTGAAACCAGATGCCTTTCCCATCCACACTGATACAGCCACTGAGCTCCAGAGTTGGTGAGGAGCTTGTCTGACCAGGCTTCGGCATCCTTAGCAGCTGTCATTTTGAAGGTCACAAGTGGTCTTGAGGAGGAGGCACACTGAGGTGGGGTCCTTGTGAGCCTGCCACAGGAAGCATGGCGGGAAGGCTGGAGGGAAGCTGAGATGACTTGCTTCAGTGCGACACCGGCCCTCAGATGCAGACACGAGCTTTGGAGCTGTCTGGGCTGCCTGAGGCCATGAAGGATTTGCCTCCAGAAAAATCTCTGGGCTCAGAAGCTCTGACAGGTTGAGTAGCCATCTGACTTGTTGACTGAAGCAGGTCTCTGCTCAGAATTTGTTTCTTTCTCCTCATTGACAACAATTCCGTGAGACAACTTCATGAGCACCTTGGTCTACCATAAGCTAGCGGAAGATGTTTGCCTGCTTGCCTGGCGTCTTCTGGGCCGTGTTTTGAATTGGAAAGGAGGAAAAGGAACAATAAAGTCGAGTTGGCCAGAGTGAGTAGAGACACACGATGTTTTTTGTTTTGTTTTGTTTTGTGTTGTTTTTTTAGTGTGACTGAGGGAAGTCTCTGTGGTGAAGTTGCTGCAGTATAGACCCAATGTTTTACATCTCTGCATGCTTCTTATGTGGGAAACTACCTGCTGAAGGGTTTTCTGGGGAAAATAATTGTATTTACCTTACATATCTGTGCCCCAAATATTTATTGGTAATTTTTTGTGTGTGCATGTGCATACACATGTGTGCTGATGGGTGTGGTGGCCAGAGGTCTACCTCAGGTACCCATCTCAGAAACTGTCCATCTTGACTTTTGAGACAGTCTCTCATTGTACCTGGTACTCACTGATGAAGCTAGGCTGGCCAGCCAGCTATTTCCAGGGACTGTCCATCTTCTCTTCTACAGTGGTGGGATTCTAAGTGTGTGCCACAATACCTGGTATTGTCTTCTGGGTTCTAGGATTAAATTCAGGTCTTCATGGTTGCACTGACTGAGCTCTCACTCATGTTCCTGATGGGTGTTTTTTTTAAACAACTAAATACAATGAGGTTAAAAAAAAACAAAAACCAGTAAACAACAGAGAAAACCAAGGAAATCACTCACAAAACCTGCAAAACTAAATACTCCTGAGATCCAAAAGAGTACCAGAGCACATTAGGAAACTGGGCATGTGTTGGGATCAATGCTCACAGCACTTGCTGTGAACACTACACCTCTCCACACAGAGATCTCGAGTAGTGTCACTGCCGACTCCTCGGAAGGTCCTGCAGGGAACCTGCGCTGTGTGACACAGCCATCTAGGCAGGTTTTCAAGGCCAGGAGCGATAAGCTTGTGTCTGAGAGAGGAGGCCACCACTTTTACTTTAGAACGTGTCCTTTCTCCAGGAACTCCAAGTTCCCATCATCGCATCGGTCACCTGTCTGCTGAGTGTGTGAGATCAGTGAGAACAAGTTGCAAACATAAAATAACCTCAGAGGGGAAAAAATGAAACGAAAGAGAGATGGAAAGGGAAGGAGGAAGGGGGGAGGGGAGGTGGTGGAGAGGAAAGAAGAGGAGAGGAAGGGAGAGGAGAGGAGAGGGACATGAAGGGACTAGAAGGGAAGGGGGAGGGAACGGGAGGGAGGAATAGGGTGGGGAAGAAGGTGGAGGAGTGAGGAGAGAACAACAGAGAGCAGAAAGGGCGCTGTAAGGAAAGGAAGTGTCTGGGTGTGATAAGGGCCCAAGCCCTTCCCTGCTGTTACTTCCTTGATTAAGTAACAGCAGCAGCCAGTCTGGTTGTTCAGCTGGGTCCATGAAGTGCTACCCTTCTCTGTTTGCTCAGAACACTCATCCCAGGCTTCCACTGGGGCTGGGAGGTGGTCGTGTGAATGAGGACCTGCTCCTGGCTTGAAGACCACCCTTCTTCCCCTTCCGGAGACCTCCCTCGCCTCCCTGTGGTGGTTTGAAAAGGAATGTCTCCTGTGGGCTCACGTATTTGAATGCTTAGTCAACAGGGAGTGGCATTCCTTAGAAGGAATGGGAGATGTGGCCTTGCTGGAGTAGGTATGGCCTTGCTGGAGGAAGTGTGTCACTGGGGGTGATGGGCTTCGAGGTTTCAAAAGCCCAAGCCAGGTCCAGGGTCTCTCTCTTCCTGCCGCCTGTGGATCTGCACGTAGAACTCTCAGCTCCTTCTCCAGCACCATGTCTGCCTGGGTGCCGCCATGCTTCCCGCCATGATGACAAGGGACTAAACCTCTGAACTGTAAGCCAGCCCCAGGGAAGCATTATCTTTTATAAGAGTTGCTGTAGTCACGGTGTCTTTTCACAGCAATAGAAACCCTAACTAAGACACCCTCCTTCCCTTCTGGGAGAGGCAAGCGTGGCAGGCTTTGAAGTGTTTGTCAGCAGGGTCCAGACCACTCCAGGCAAGGAGCACAGGGGCACTTCTGATAAGACCTTAGCCTTCTGGAGTCTGCTAGCCTGCTAACATCAGATGTCTGGAATTCCAGATGTGGTGCTTGGGCCTAAAAAAAAAAAAAACCTGCTTCCAGAGACTGTTTGCATCTTACGTATAAACATTTATAGTACCTTCATGCCCTTGCTCCACAAATATTTATTAAGCATCTTCATCAGAGACAGTCCGGGTTGTGGCTCCCTCTTGGAACCCTAAGGCTCCTCTGCCCCGTTATCAAAAGGCAGAGACCAACTATTTCCCTCCATTTGGTTAAGGTTTCCTCCTTCAGGTAAAGCCGATGGACAGCGAAGGACTCGGCTCAGAGAATGCTGCCCTGAGATGATATGAAGAGCCACAGAGGGGCTGCAGGGAGCCAGGCAGGGCCAGGCAGGGCCAGGCAGGGCCAGGCAGGGCCAGGCAGGGCCACGGGCTCTCTACAGGAGTAAACCAGGCTTCTGTGTGTGAAACAGATCAGCAGGGTTTATGACCACATGAAGGCTGTTCAGAGAAACAGACCCAGTAGAAGATACGCAGATATCTAAGAGGTGACTGTGAAAGGAACTGGCCGCACAATCAGGGACACCAGGATTCTCCACCATCATCCCCTGGAGAACAAGGGAAGTCGGTCAGGTAATTCCTGCCGAGACCCCAGGCATGAGAACCACAAGCACCAGTGTCTAGGGGTGGGAGACGGTGCATGTGCCCCTCAAGGACGGAGCGATTGCTTCCCTACACTATCTCTTTGTTCTCTCCAGACCCTCAGTGGATCGAATGGTGCCATCTGTTTTATCAGTTCAAACGGGAGCTCTTTCCAGAAACATCCTCAGAGACACACCCAGGAGTAACACTTCATCGGCTCTCTGGGCATCTTTTAGCCTAGTCAAGTTGACACATGAAATTAACCATAAGGCCATTTGTTTCTTCTTTCCTTCATCTGTCTCTAAAGCGTCCTTTGGGGGCTGGGGAGATGGCTCTGATGGTCAAGAGCTTGCCAAGCAAGTGTGATGGATTGAGTTCAATCCCCAGCACCCATGTAGAAAGCTGAGCACGGTGGTGCATGCTTGCAATCCCAGCACTGGCTGGTGGTGAGGGGCAGAGACAGAGGGAACCCTGAGGCCAGCCTAACTGAATCAGTGAGCCAGGTCCCAGGGAGAGATGTTGTCTCAAAACACAAGGTAGTTTCTGAGAACAGCACCTGACATGAACGCTGGCCTCCACACATATATGGACATACATACATGGATGTGCCTTCATA